GCTTGCACATGCACGAGTGAGCCCGGCATCTATTGGCAACATTTTTTGGGGTCAACAGTTCCTATTCATGTTACTAATATATGTGCTACTCCAACAAAGCCTTCGTTTGGGAAGAATTTATGAACAGTTTAATTTACAAATAGATCGAAATGGGTGATGGATAAGTGAATAGTTTTCGTGGATCCATCAAAATGAACGGTTGAAAAAGAAGTTAAACCAATTTATAAACGATTTATAAATTTGCACAACGAAGGCCAAGTCAAAATAATGGTGAAGTTAAAATACTCTGCGACCTAGCTGATCATATTGTAAGTGTTAAGAAATATATGATTAGTTTGTTTTTATTATTTATTAAGGGTAGAATAGTCTTTTAAATTTTCTTTATTTTAGACTATATATAGTCTCTTTGTATCTAGGTTTTATTCATTCAATTACATTATGCAGAATCAATAAAACCCTAGCCTCTTTTTCTCCTTTGGATTGTTTAACATGGTATTAGAGCTAAGTTTCATGGGATNTTTATTCATTCAATTACATTATGCAGAATCAATAAAACCCTAGCCTCTTTTTCTGTTTCTCTTTGGATTGTTTAATAGTAAGTATTAAATGATCCAAACTCATTCACTCATTAAACATCCTAAATCACAGAACCACAATAATGTGAAATAAGTCGAGCAAAATATAGTTCTTTATTTGCCTGGGAAACATGCTAGTAAACTAGTGTAATTTTGTTAGTCGAATAAGGGTTCGGAAAGAGTGCTTCTACAGCCTGCATCATGAAACAGAACTACATCTGATCTACTAGTTGAACTAATAAGAAGAAAATTAGGATATCGTGATGTCCTGTGGCTTTGTTTGCGAACAAAATAGAAAGATCAACTAGTCACTACAACAAAAATAGTCATTTGCAACACTAAAAATGTAACATTTCTTTCTATATATAAAAAGTGCCTATTTAACGGAATTTGTTGGTTTAACGGAAAAACTAACGGAATTTATTGTTTTAACGGATTATGTAACGGAATTTCTTGTTTTAAACAGGCAGCTGCACCTTCTTTCAGTGTTTTTATCATAACTTTGTATTCCGATATTCGATTGAGGCGATTCAAAATGCGTTGGAAAGCTAACCCATCTGA